TAGATTTTTTTTCACATCGAGCATTTGAATATGAAATATTATATTATATCCTGACAATCTGTCGATGGAAGAATCGTTTTGTAAGAACGATTTTTTTTTTTTCGCGATGAATTGATTTGTCGTGCCTTGTGTATAATGTAATAGTGTGTCAACACCGTAATTGTTGTAGTTCAGTTAGTAGAGAAGTCTAATCTTGAAATCGATGGATTACGAAATAGTTTATTGATCGGTTGGATACCTACTCTGGATTCTCGACAAAGTATTTCGGGAAAGTAAAAGAGATACTACTGTGGCTAAAAACTGTAAATGACGTTAAACCACTGATAATTAACCAAGTCACTAATGTAAAAGCAGTGCAAACAATTTTTTTTAGTAATCACTGAAAAACTGCCTCCACTGAACCGATGTACAAGAGTTTCCCTCGAAAAATCAATAGTGGGCTATTGTTTGTGACAATCAATAAATCACAGGGTGATTTCGATAAACTTGAATTTTACGTTAAAAAATTTATATTCCCTCATATTAAATTAAACGTATATTACAGTCAAGATGTATAAATCTTGACCATATCAATATTTGTACAGTATGATTCAGAAAAAGCAGGAAAACATTAAAAAAATATTGTTTAACAAGTAACTTTTTGTTGTTGGTAAGGTGCAATCGAACAAAAAATGATTAATTATTCCGTACCAATGACAAAGACAAAAATAGTAATTGTAACATCCATTGTCGTTTGCGTCTCTATTGCCCTGTATCAGTACAATAATGTACGAAAAAAGAAATTTAATTAACCCTATCTTCCGATAGACGTCTGTTGTTTCTTCTTGAAAACAAAAAAATGAGAGTCACGAGTGCCCCGCAAGATAAGAAGCCCCGAGGCAAGACTGATTAATGTGCAGGAAAAAAAAAGAAAAAGAAAAAGAGAGAAAGAGAGAGAGAATAATCTTCCCTCGCTGTCTTTGTCCGTCTCTTGGTCATCAAGTGGCTGTGGCATGCCCACACATAAGTGCCGGAGGGGTTTATCTGGCGAAAGCACGCGCGCTCCTTGGGGACAGGAACCGGAAGTCGCGGAGATACCCGAGCGAGCGCGATCGGCCTATCTCCCGCAAGAACCTATCGGTCTTCTACTCGGACTTGGTGGGCTTCGAGGAGCACGACGCTGCTTGCCACTCGTTATCTTTATTTTCCTCTTTTTGTCGTGCACCGCCCAGGGATGACGTCTCTTTGAACAGTACGAGAGGAAACACGCCTGGCCATTACCAAGTAACATGTTATGTTACGGTTAAACCCCCCAAAAAAAGATCATCTGAGTAAATTGTGGAAATCTTGCAGCAGACCCACAAAATAATCGAGATGATGTACAAAGTCCTTTCTTTGTACTTCCTTTTTTCCGATGACAAAAAGAAAAAATACTTTTATTTTCGCGTGACGGTTGCATGATTATTATCCACCGCGACAGTTCCGTGAAATTATCTGTCTTTCGTGGACTATCGGTACACGTGCATAGCCTCGCGTGTCCGCCTACAGACGATATACATACAAGAAATCTTCGTGACTAACCAATCGCGAGCTGGACAATTACCGCCGCGGACGTTAGAAGTGGACGTGCGACGTAAGTGCTGTACACCACTGTACTGTGGATGTATCTTTTGCCGTGTGCCCGATGTACGCTTGTACAAGCTTCGCGTGGAGGATGTTTTTATATTTTTAAGTTATTCAAAAGACTGCGGCTTTTGCCTCGCGCGCTGAAAATTACGCTTGAGGACACACGCGAATAAAAAATACACGCAAAGCCGCCCCGCTGTTGAAAAGCCTGAATTATGTAACACGGCAATTGAAAATATATGTATGAATTATAGATGGCCTTTTTTTTTTTTCTTGTCCCTCCAGCAAGTAAACATTTCGTCTGTACTTTGCAAAATATGCAGACAAATGCTGTTGTCGACCCCTTTTACTTTTTCTTTCAAAAGTGACAAAATTAATATCCACAGTTCGAAATCTCAATGAATAATTGATTTTTCTTTCATACCACTTTAAATATTCCTCGAATTAATCCACACAAAGACACGGTTACCAAGAAGAGATAAAACTTCAATGTAATGACATGCTAGCTCATGTATGTGTATCAGGAGGAAAAAAGGAAAAAAAAAATCCAATGCATTTTCACATTGTATTTTCTGAACGAAGCTTCCACGCGACGCACTATATTTAAGACTGCGCCTTCAAACGCATCAAGTTACGCAACGCAAAATTATAAGCCTCCGCCAACAAGCCAAGTGCACCCATCAAGCTTGCATTTACTACGACAGAAGCGTTAACGACAAGCTCAGCCGTACATCCATATACACGAGCTTTGCACGCTTCAAGATCTATACGTGCACTGGTGATAGGTCTCCATGTGTGTAACTACACGCCCATGTGCGTGGGTCCGGGTCAACCTCATTGGGAAATCTGGTGTGCGTATTATATAGACGGAGCATGGATGCGATGTAGGTATACCTATGATCGGCAATCATCGTGTTACGCTCCACTGCAACTGGGCTGCTCTCGAAAGCAAAGTCCGAGAGCGTCATTTTCCTCCTCCCGAGCACTCCTTTATTTTCGAGGTCGTCATTGGTGCGGCTGTTGCCAATCGAGAGAGGGACGTCCGAGCGCGCGTCCAGGTACTCGGGCGAGCGAAGATCCGGCCTAACTACATCGTGTACCATCGAGAAGTCATTATCTCTCTCTCTCTCTGTCGTTGCCTTCGCGTTTTTCCGGAAGGAGGTTCTCTCGGCGTCGCCATTCCGTTGTCCAGCGCCATCACGGCTCCCGGGTCTCCTTCCCTCCTCCATCTGCTTCGCGATCGCGATTCGCGGACGCTCCTTCAGCGCGATCGCTTCCTTTCACCCGCTCCACCTCCTCCGCGCCTCCTTTCCGCCCGCGGTTTATATTACACAGCGCATATACGATCTCTTTTCCGCTTCTTTTATCTTCGTAGCTTCGGTTTTTTTCTTCCTTTATTCCCTTTTTTTTTTTTTTTTTTTTTTTTTCCCCGTTTGCAGCCCACGCGCCTCGAGTAGAGCAATGTCATAGTATAGATAGTGGGTGGAGATGACGGGTAGAGCGAGCGGGGTCCTTTGTTCTCTCCTCGATGCGTCTCCCGGTCGGCAAGTCCGGTTCCCTCCTCGAGTGGCCGTTGGCTCATCTCCATCGAACGTACAGGCGGGAGGGAGATTAATTAACGGAGCGTTTTACATACACGTACGGCAGGATGACGCCAAGGTTGCACGCGGACTCATCAAGAGAGCCGATGCTGCCCGACTCGACCTCATTCTTCTTCTGTACTTTTGTCCCCTCCTCTCTCTTTTTTTTTTTTTTTTTCTATCTGCGCGAGTTTGCTCACTGCAACTTTGTATACATAAGATACGAATTTCATGTGTACGCGCGAGACAAACCGACTTTAAAGAAAATCCACGCTCGATCGTATAATGTATCCCCTGCATCCGTAATGTGCAGTTTTCTCGGGATAATTTTGGGTCTGGAGAGACAATTGAATGCAGCGATTCCTCGCGTATACGCGAGAGCAATAAGCGCTAAAGCTAAAGGGGGAGATGTAGGGAGAAAAAAAAAAAAAAAGCGAGTAAACGCGTTCCCGGATGACGTGCGTCTTGTATGATAATACGGGCACGAGGTATAAGCTGCGCGCGGTGTGTGTCGCAGAGAACGGCGAGGAAGAGGAGAGGGGGGGGGATAAAAAAGAGGGTTCTTACTTTACATTCCTTTGTGGCGTTATTCTTGGCCCATAGTCCTTCACGGGTATCATCCACGTCCCCCCCTTCCGCCCCGCGTCTCATCTTCCTTGCCCCCGCGCCCTCTTTGTCCCTCTTGAAGTTTGAACTAACGCTCCCGAGGTTTTAATGCACTTGTCTACTTCAGATGCGTTCATAAAGACGCGCATATATGTATGCGCTTAACCCCCCCCCCCTCAAGGAGTAGAAAGAGTGCACGAGTTTGGGGGGTGGGGAGGCGCGCTGGAAAATATTCTTGCATGGACTTTTTTTTTTACTCGCGGCGTGTGCACAGCTTCCCTCGAAATTGCGCGTATCAAGAATTTTACGGTTAATTTTTTCCTTCCAACCTCTCTGCGCCTTGTAGCTTTTTCCTTTCCGTTTTATTGGATACTCTCGGGGAAATTTTTTCGACATCCTAGGAAATGGGAGAACCTTGGTTTTGGACTCGCAAAGTGCGGATGAAATTGCTCCCATGCGGTTTTTTTTTTTTTTTTCATTCTTGGACGCGATTGTTCGGCAAAAATTCTTTTGTACCTCCACCAGAGCAAAAAGTACAACTCCTCGCGAAACCATACATTGTTTATTTTAAAGAGAAAAAAATGTAGATACCTTTGGAGTACAACTTTTTTGGTAAATTACAGTATAGAATTGTTGTCCTACATCAAAGTTATTTTTTTATGCATCAAATATTTAAATCTGTTACATCGTATATCCTGATGAATTGGATCAAAGAATCGTTTCATAAAAAAAATAACTTTTCGTTTTCCTGACAAAATGACATAAATTATGTGTGCAAAGGGTATGGTTTTTTCATTAATTACAGTATCGGTATGACTCTGAAATCTTCTTTTTTCAATTCTCACAGAAAACTGTGCCTCAACTGAATCGATATGCAAAAGATTGATTCCTCGAAAAATCAATTATGTGCTGCCTCTCGGTTTCGATTGAGAAATAAAAAACTTTGCTTTCCTCGTTATGCTTTAACACGAAATACAACTTTCTCAAAGCACACCACGAGCTTTTACTTTCCCTGCAGCGGATGATTAGAATCAAAAAGGTTACCAAGTATACATATGTCGCTCGTGCATACGTTTTGCATCAATAACAATGGATAACCCCTTGGATTATGCATAAATAAAAAAGGTAAAAAGAAAAAAAAATCGGGAACAAAGAGCTAAGATGGATACATAAAAGAGAAAAAGAGTAGTAGCTTGATCACACACTCACCTCTCGAGCACCGGTGTATCCGTGCACCAGCCGGCTCCCTCCGTTACGGCGTCATTCGTGAATCTGCAGCAGAAAAAAAAACAACAAAAATGGTCATTATTATTATTATTTTTTTTTTTTTCTTTTTTAACCTATAGTAGTCAAGTACACATGTAGATATGAAAAGCAGAGCAACCCACCAAGGTGGAAAATCGCTATGGGATACATAATAGGAGAAAGAGCGGAAGGGCGGAAGGAAGGAAGGAAGGAAGTAGTGATATGACTTCTGAGCTGACGAACGAGAGACGAGGAGAAAAACGAGGACTGCTGCTCGAAAAGCCACAACGACGATGATAATTACCGCGACGATGATTGCGGCGAGGATTACCACGTTAAGTAGCATAATATGTGTAGACGCTGTCTTCCCCTCCCCTACGGGGGGGGGGGGATGCGTCAATCTCCCGAAGGAGGAGCCATTACTTCCTGTACACGTGTATAAAGTGAGTGCAAAATAAAGCCAACGGGACCCAGGATTTTCAAAAAAAAGTGTACACACAGTAGCTGCATACATGCAGTCATTATCATCAACCCGCGCAGCGGAGTCATCGCCGTTAAATCGCATCAACCTCCCTCTTACACGCGCGACCTTGTTTGTTTTCCTCCCCAAGCCCATCTCGCTCCCTCCGTTTTTCATTCTTCCTTTCGTCTTCCCCTGCCTCTCCGGCGCGAGCTTTTATTTTTCCCGTGCAAAGGGCTCGCATGTGTGTACACGTTCGCACAAAAGCAGGACTTGCACGAAGGGACTCCCTATTGCGGGGAGCGTGGAGGAGCCCAATTATACGTACGTGCGCGGGTTTTCGCTCCCGATTGTCACAAATTAACCATCTTTCACGGCTGTTTCTTACTTAGGCGCGGGCTTTGAAAGACACCACCAGCGGCTTTGAATGGCCTTTACAGCTCCGAGGGCCATTCCATGTGGGAGTCGATCGGGCACTTTTCTTTCGGCCGGGACGCGGGTTGCACGGTGTACTAATTAAGAAAAACGAAAGGGATGAAAAAAAGAAGAGGAAAAAAATGACGATGCGCGACAAAGTTCCTTTTTTGCCTTTTCACGAGGACGCGTGTGTCGCGACTCTCTTAGTGACTTGTAACTTTTGTAAAGCGTGTAAAAAAAAAAAGAAAAAAAAAAAAGTTTAAGCAGATTCCAGATGCACAAAAAAGGGGCAAATGGACGGTTGTGATTAGATTGGGAATTCAAGGGGGATCAAGTGAATGCGTATACATGTCGAATAATTGCTCCTAATGGAGCTTATGCGCGGCGAAATGCGATACAAGTTAATGCAACTGCGGCCCTTTCTCGCTGTCCCGTGTACATGTGAGGTGCGCACCGTGACACGAATACCCTGGACCCCGAAAGTTCCAAAAATATGTTTGATTGAGGTTAACGTACGAGTTTAGTCGTCTCTCTCGTGCGCGACTAATAGTCAAGGTTGGGGCGAAAAAAAAAGAGTCCGACGAAAGGGAAGAGCTTAATTGAGGTGATTTTCCGATACGTGACTGGAGAACATAAACGTGCAAGCGAGATAAATCACAGTTCCATATACAGAGTAACACTTTGACGCGCAAAACTCCTTGCCGATGTAATTAGTGACGATGTCTTTACGATCGGGGCGGTACAATTATAATTAGTATCCATCATCTCTTCGGTATGCCCCCGATGTCCCCGTGTACTGTCTTCTCTCCCTTTTCGCATCGCTTGTATACTTACACAGCTCCGTGGGAATGACTACCTTCTTCGACTGTCCCTCTCCCTACGAGCATTTACATTCAAAGCTTTAAAGTTTTTAACTCGATATTTTCATCCAAACTCTAGTTTTTTGTTTAATTACTTACTTTCTTTTTTTTATTGCTATGATTGATGGTTTGTGTTTATTGTTACAAATTTACTCAATTACGGTATAATTTATGTAAATAATTTGTGAAAATTTATCGCTAAAACAATAATTATTTAAGCTCAAACCACCCGTTGAAACAGTCGTCGATGCATACGAAGGGATCGAGAGGTGCAACTGCGAGTCAACTGTCCCGAGGAGCGAAGCACCCCGTCGCGCCACCTATGGGGAAATCGTCCAAGATTCGAGACAAGGGGCTCTCTCTTCCTGCTTTTGTCCTTTCAGCGCGATGTTCTCTTTAATAGTATTGAGTCAACTTGGAAAAAAAATCAAAAGTGCCCCGTACGTATCTTCATTCGATACGTATTCTTATCGTTTTAATACATTTTTGATATGCTCGTATTTATTGTAGCTGAAGTCCTGGCAAGTTGTTTATTGTGCCAAGATAAATGACTTTTGTTGCGCAGAGTCGAGATGAATACGTTAGTTGATTCATTGAACCGAAGGTGCTGAAACTGAATGAAAAACACAAAAGAACGATAACCACCCCGTACGTGATTTTCATCAATTCAAAGTCCATTGTTTTTTTGTTATTTTTATAAACTTCATACAACGCACTCTCGAATTATCGAGCCAATAGTAATAACAAGAGATTTGTCAACATTGTTGTCGCACATGGAAACTTTCAACCTGTTCGGAGGCTCAAATGGCGGTATGGAAAATTAGATAAAAACCAAGAGTCACCGATCGGGAAGCGCGTTTCATTGAAAACAAGCTCGAAAGCAGAGCGGCAGCCGTGGCTTTGCACTCGCGATTTCTGGGTCAATGCCGCGGCGTTTTGAAAACGAGCGCATATATAAGCTTCGGGGACCAGAGAAGAGGGTCGGGGGTAGGTCGCGGGGGTGTCAGTGCACGGGAATATTGAAACTGCGAGAGCGCAATGAACTTTTGCATAATGAGTTGGCGGGTGCGACATCGACAAATCGACGGGCCCGGCATGTGTGTGTGCAACCACTCTCTCTCTCTCTCTCTCTCTCTCTCTCTCTCCATCCCTATATATATATATATACCCCCCCCGCAAACCCCTCGCTCGTGTTTCGAAACGTATTTTCTCTCTCGTGTGACGCCCGCTTACCCCTCGCTCGTTTGTACATGTGTGCAGAGGTGGCAAGTGTCAATGCGCCGGCGCGTTAACGCGAATATTTTCATTTGATTGCGTTAATTAAATTTTCATGGCTCTCCCCACCCCTTCCCCAGCGCCCCTACGCGCGCACTTATTCGGCTACGCTTGTGTTTATAAACTTTTGACCTTTGAAGTTACGGCGACACGTGCTCCCACAATACCACCCCGGCACTCGAGCTCGCGTATACCAATCGTATAGTGATGGGTTAATATTAATTTATCACGATTATAGATCCAAACTTGTTTAACAATACGGTTATTTATATGCCGTCGTCGCGTGTTATGGATTTACACTTTATTTGCTGACAAAAAATATTTCAAAACAAGATTAACGGATCGAGTGAAAAATTCGTTCCCTCTTTTATTGTTCGCCACCTCGAGTAGCGCCATGAATAAATTCACCATCCCCCGGTTCTTTCTCTTCGAGGCAAAAGTCACTTATTCTCGATTGTTTTCTCGCGCTTGTGAACAAATTGCCATCCCGGCTTCCTTAACAAGCTCCGAGGGAGCTTGCACCCCACACTCCGAGGGTGTATGCAAATATCGTCCACCGACTCTTGGATGCTCCCCTCTCGCCATCGTTGGGTGTAAGATTATTTTTTATCCCAAGGATGACAAAAAAAAAAAAAAAAAAATATTATAAAACAAAACAAAACAAACAACGATACGCGAGAAAACGTTTGACTGAGCCATTTTGAACGCGGTCCAAAAATAGGACACGTGCGCGAGTACCTAGGAAAGTTCGAGGGTGGCTGCTCGTCGTTAAGAATGTGCCGTGCAAAACTTGGCGGTAATCAAGGGCGTGCGAGAGCGACGAGCCATTTGACACCGGGAGACGATGTTGTCTGGCACTTGCCAGGACCCCAGCGTTCCTTAATTACTCCGGGAGTCGTTACGCGACTACGACGACGGCGTTTGGACTGTTGCCCGTGACCGCATCAGCCAACAGTCTTTTGACTCGGTTAATTTTCCGTCTTGCGATTATTACGCCCGAGTTTCGTGTTGCGGGCCAGAACGATCATTGCTGACAACGATGTGCACCTACCTGCAGGAAAAAAGGCGCTCTTTTTTTTTATATCCACTTTGCAAGCAGAGAAAAAAAAAAAGAGATCACTATCAAATTCACTGCTTTCGTGTTACGTTATACTTGAGCGATACTTTTTTCCGTGGGAGAGAAGTGGAGGGAGGACATAAAATATTCGCCGATCGAATTTTTTTTTTCCCCCTGACCGTTCGAGTCAACAATTTATGCTGCTTCCACCCTTGAAACACGAACTTTTTGGGCTCCAAGGTACACTTGGTCTCGAGGTAAAATGTATACCATATCGCGCAAAGCACACAATAAACGTCACCGCGACTCTCGGAGCGCGCACGTTTACTTACGTATAATCCCTAAACGTCTTAAATGCGCTCCGCGGAGGTAAACTTTGCCGGCAGGGTGGGCCGTCCTGGGGGAGGAGGCACCCACCCGTCCTCACCTCGACGTAGACAATCAAGAAACAGTGATCCGTGACAGGAAAGTTTGGCGGTATAACAGGTAGACACGCAGCATCCCGGGACAAATCTCTCGCGGGGGAGCCACCGAGTTTTCCAATTCCTGCGTGGCAGGGCGCGGCTAATTGCTTTAGGAAAATTCATTAAGAGTCGAAGGCAGTAGTACCCGCATGCACACATATACATACATAGGCACACCACTGGGAATGGGGAAGCGTCCGTGCGAGCGGATACGGTATTACCTCGAGGAGAAAAGGAGGGAGGGGGGAAGAAACTTGGAGTGGCGGAAGAGAGTTAAGATCATTTCGTAATGGAGACGCCGAGTTTAATTCAGCCGCCGATCAACCACTCAAGGCTCTCTCTAAGCTCCCCCCCTGCGTGCTCCCTTCACTATATCGCATATTCGCCTTCCGAGTCTCTCGCTCGCACTCCCGATATCTGTTTTCCCTCCCTCCCAACCGAGTTTCCAGTTAGGTTTGTACGAATTCTTCCACCCCCGCACTCTTTCGTCTCTT